AATTCATGGTTATCTTTCTGTCTCAGCCTCCCAAGTACTAGGATTACAGGCATGCTCCACCATACCTGGCTCTGATGGCATCTTTCAGTAAAGGAAAGTTTTAAATTTTGATGCAATTGGATTCCACTTTTTATTGTATTATTTGTGCTTTGTTTATTCTATCAAAGTTTTTTTCTTCTTTATATTCTTCTAGAAATACAGTTTTTACTCTTACATTTAGGCCTAGAATTATTTTAGATGGTTTTTTATATATGGTTTGAGAAGGTAACATTTTTATTGCATATAAATCATATAGTTGGGCTAACACCATTTACTGAAAAGTTTTTCATTTCTCCACTAAAGGTGTTTTGACACTTTCACTAAAGTAAATTGGCTGCTTATGCCTCTAATGTGTGCATACTACATAGTAATTTTATCACTTTATAATGTTTGATATAAATTAACCCAATCTCCTTTTTCTTCTGAAGAATTTTCATGCCTTTCTTTCATTTGTTCAGTTTTATATTAAGATATAATTTATGTAACATTAATCCCACTATTTTCAAATGTAAGCACAATGGCTTTTAGCACATTTGCTGTGTTCTATACCATCATCTAATCCCAGAACATTCTCGTCATCCCCCAAAGAAACCTCAGTCCCACCAGCAATTCATCTAGTTTCCTGCTCTCTCAGTTCCTGCAACTACTAATTTACTTTCTGGCTGAGTGGGTCTGGCTACCCTGGGTACATCACAGAAACGGAGTCCTGCAGTGGGTGGTCTTCACAGCCTGGGTCCTTTCACTAGCGTAATGACTTCAGTGTCATCCATGCTTGAGACAGTACCATGTCAGAATGTTTTGTTCCTTTCCATAGCTGTCATATTGCAGTGGTTGAATCTGCCCCAGGTGCTTATTCCTTCCTCAGCTGTGGTCATTTGAGTTGTTTCTAGTTTGGAGGCTTTTGAATAAGAACATTGTGTGTGTGAATTTTGTGTGAACATATGTTTTCTTCTTGGATATGTACTTAGCAGTACAGTTGCCAAGTTGCTGGCTCTGTGTTTAAATTTTTGAGGAATTGGTTTTTTACAGTTGCTTCACCATTTTACATTTCCACCAGGAAGGTGATGACGGTTGCAATTTCTTCACATCCTTGCCAACACGTGTATATTCTGGGGTTTTTTTCCAAGTGGGTATGAAGTAGTATCTCACTGTGATTTTGATTTGCATTTCTCTAATAGCTAACACTGAATGTCTTTTTTTCCCCATAATTTTATTGAGAAACAAATAGCGATGAGACAGTTTCAAACCAAATTGGTAGGACAGTTTCAATAATTATCACATTGCATACTCTCTTCCTAGTGGTTATTTGCTGTACAAGATGCGGACATGATATCCTATTTACAAACACTATTAGAATAAATCCCTCTATTCATTAAGAGAATGTAACTATATATCTATCCTAGCCATTTTGAATACACAGATACACAATGGACATTCATCTGTATCCCCTTTTTTTTGTTTAGTTCCGTTATTTGAATATTGTAGGTGTGTTAACTCAGCAAAATATTCTAAAAGAGTCCAGTAATCCATAATAGTATTGAGTCTTCTGCTTGACTAGCAATGTCAGAAATTGTTGACCTGAGTCCCCTACAGCTCAACATAACAGCATGACTTTATTTCTTATACTTCGTTTTTATACTTTTCTGCTGGATGGTTAAGACCAAGGTAAAGCAAGACCTATGGAACAAGAGTTGTAGCTTTTAGGTCTGATAAGGTCAGTGAAATCCCCTCAGGATTTATCCTGAGATCCTGTACCTCAGATTGTAGAACCTTTGTCAGTGTCAGCCATGTGGATGAGTCACGGCCATTGCTTGGCCAATGTGCTCTCTGTGAAAGTCTGAGAGAATGTTTTCTCTCCATGTGACTCTCCTTAGGCACACTCTACATCATCGATCACTTTCCTCTTTGGCCCCATAATCTCCTTGATCAGAAAATTTGGGACACTATCAAATTACATGACGTTACAGTACAAATTCTCATATGTCCTAAGTCTTGATTGACTTTGGAAGGCTAGGGCCAAAATGTTGATTTTCCTTAGGGCCCTCCTTTTTCTCTAATTTTGGTCTGCAAACTTAGGTTGTTAACCCTCCAGAAGACAAACTTATTGTTATTACCATACAACCTAGGCTGTTAAGCTTAGCCTCACTATCTGTCTGAATATCAAACATCTTAGGCATAACATGGAACAGGTACTTTTCATCAAGTATTGATATGTTGAACTTTAAGTCCCTACAGAATATGATGAAAAAAACATTTAAAAATTAGAATATATTTTAAAAATAGGCATAACAAATTATATAATTCTTATGTTTACACATAAGTCCAGAAATCTAACCATATACAGCCTTGAAGCAGGACAGTCCCACAACATTCTCTTTCTTGTCTCTTGCCTTCATTCACCACCCGCTTCTTTTTGAACAATCATCTACCCAAGAGACAGCATAGTAGCAACTGGAACTAACATTGAATATCTTGTGTGCTTAATGGACATTTGTACATCGTCTTTGGAGAAAATTTCTACTTACATCCTTGGCCAATTTTTTGTTTGTTTGTCTTTTTTATTATTTGCTTTTGTTTGTTTTGATTTTTTTTTTTTTGTCTTGCTGTGTAGTTTAGGCTGTTTTTTTTTTTGTTTTGTTTTGTTTTTGTTTTTGTTTTTGTTTTTGGCACTGGCGACCAAACTCAGGACCTTATACTTTCTAGGCAGGCACTTATGCTGCTGAGCTATCTTCCCAGCCCATTTAGGCTGTTCTTGAGCTGACTATGTACTCCAGGTTGGCCTTGAACTTGTAGTGGTCCTCCTGTTTCATCTTCTCAAGTACTGGAAGTATAGGTGTGTGCCACTGTGCCTAGTTCTGGTCAACTTCTGTTTGTTGTTCTCTTGTTTTGTTGTTAACTTTATAGGTCAGTTATATAGTTATCATAGAAGACCATTATTAGTATATAGTTGTGGAGGACCAGCTGAGTGACTCTCCTTGAAGGAGGGGCAATTATCTCCATTTTAGCTGATCCTGACCCTACTTCCATGTACTGATGTGTGCAGAGCTGGCTAGGACTTTTCCTTATCCCTTCAATTGGCTCTTGGCATGTGTATCAGTCCAGCTGAGGTGCTGATGATGTAGGCTTTGAAGCAAAGAAACAGGGCAGTGTTCTCCCAGCCATGTAGCTCCATGTGTGAGCTGTGCTCCATGCTGGGATTGAGTCTCAAGATAAAATGCTATGACTTCCAGGGCATAAAAGATTACACATTAGCACTGAAGACCCAACCCAAAAACATTAGTTACTATCTCAGCTGTGGTATACAGATCACATTCTGCCTGTCCTTTACTCTGCATATTGCACAGGTGATCTCAGGCTTACTATCTAGCCCAGCTCATGACACTCACCTACTTCCCGCCATTCTCATCATGGTCACTCATCCTCAAGCCACTCCTTTCTTCATGAGTTAAAAAAATCCAGATTCAGCCCTGAGTCGAGGTCTTTGTTCTAGCTAGTCACCATCATGGCTGAACCTAGAGCTCCTTGGCTCCCCATAACTACACATATGCCTCTGTGTCTGTATTCTTGTCATGGGTTGCACTAGAAGTGGTGGTTTGGAATTAACTCACTAGGATTCCAATAACTTTTCCAGGGATTACAGATATAAAGTTCTTGGGCTACCATGAGAACGGGGAAGGGCTCTCTCTGTATAAAATTTGCAACTATTTTCTTTCATTCCATGAGTTGTATAGTGAATAGTACCTTGCTTTATGAATTATTTTGTTTTACAGTTTGGAGGAAGATGTCTGTGTTTGTGTGGGGAGGATAACTAGGGTCATGTTTGTCACCTGATGTGGAGTTTGTGAACAGAAGCAAAATTTTTCCCAATGCTTTGGCTTGCAAACTGAATTGTTTGCAAACAGAAACGTGTGCATTGAGGTGTTACTGTATCTTCACTTCCTTGATGTACAAATATTTTAAATTTTGATGATGTTCAGTTTATCTATTTTGTCTTTGGTTGATGTACTTTTTGTGTTCTGACCATTCTAGTATATTAATTTTTTCATTTAAACTTTGGGATCAGCTTATTTTATTTTAAAACTATTGGTATTTAGACAGATAGATTAATTCATTTAGAAAAAAAGTGGTAATTCTTAAGAGGGAGCTTCCTATCAAAGAAAGATATGTGTTTCTGTTCACCCAAGTCCCTTCTGTGTTTTTTAGTGCTTTAAGATTTGTTTCCTATAGATCTTACTAATTTTAATTACATTTAGTTTTACAGTTTATTTTCCTTATTACTTAACTTACTTCAATGTTGAAAACAAACAAAAATATTTGAAACACTACATGAGCTGCAGTACTTCATAGTATCCTGAGGTCTACACTGAGGCCAAGTTCTGACCTTCAGACCCAGAGCTGCTCCAACTCTGCTGTGCGGGTAAGGACTTGTAGAGGTGCTGAGTGCCTGTCACAAGGCCACACAGCAAGGAGGTGGCAGGAGGAGGCATCTGTTGCTACACCCAGCCTGACCCAAAGCCCCAGACTCTTCATCTTACCAACTGACATAAAATATTGGAAGGTCTAGGAAAAGGGCAAGTGTTCTTACATGCATTGGGAACTCACATTCACCTTGGGACTGACTTCACCAATCAAGATAAGAATTAGACAAAAATTACACAAGAATTAGGAAAAAAATAAACATAAAACAATGCCCCTGTTGGTGCTGTCCAAGGGGAAATAAGGCAAAAGTTGGTCAGTCAGACTGTTGCGCACGCTCATACCCCAAACCCTCAAACCTCCTGAGCTTCCTGCCTGTGAAACGAAAGGGGGAGTTCGAGTTTCTTGCCCGGGTGGCAGGTGCTTTCTCAAAGGCCCGCAGGCCTCCACTTCCTGAGGAGGCAGCGGCAGAGCAGCCAGCAGAGACTCATCCTTCAGAGCCTGCCTCCATCTGTCATCCCGCCACAGCGGCCTTCACCCGGCCTGGTGCTGTCCTGGACGGGGTCAGGATGAAGAAGAAGACACTTGCTGTCGCGGCCATCCTGCAGGCACAGCTCGCGCTCTCAGGTAGGGCCGGGGCTGGAAGGCAGAGGCCTTCCCAGGGCTCTGTGTGTGTGCTGGGGATCGGAGACAGCGGGGGAGGAGCTGGTGTCTCCTCTGAATCTTGTCCTCCCCAAGCCAAGGGGCCTCTGAGCAGACGGTGTCCGTGACAGAGAAGCAAGGCTTCAGGCTTCGCTTCAGAGCCAGCTGTTTGAAAAAAAACCCATAGCTGACTGAAGTGAGATTTTCCAGTGATAAGAGAAGAAGGGAAGAAGCAGGAAAGAGAACAGGAGAGAAAGTAAGGCAGGCCAGTGTAGAGAAAGGGAGAGAAACCCAGCAGGATCAGAACATGTCAGGAGGCCTACACTCACACTGCGACAGTGTTCGTTCTTCCTGTCACCCTGTCCGTCGGTGCCCTGCTCCCCACTGCTGGCATGACACTCCGCTCCCCAAAGAACCTCTCACTGGTCAGCCAGGCAGGGTAATGGCCTGTGACCATCTCTATCCTGAGCCACCTTGGCAGGCCTGGGACCCAGTGGAGTGCAGATACTGAGTCAGGGACAGGTATAGGAAGCATGGAGCTTGCGGCCTCCCACAGGGCACTCACCAGGTCCTGGCCTGGAGCGTCCTGTCTGGGCTTCGGCCTGTCATGGCTTCACAATGACACACCCATTCTGGGCTGGGTGACTCAACTGCCGCCACCCCTGATTACCAGAGGCCTGGAGATGAGGAGGTACCTTGTCGAGTCACCGCCATGAGAAACTGGCTGCTCTCCTACACCTTGCAGGCCGCAGTGGCTGGCTTTCCCACATGTTGTCGCTGCTGTGCTTTCTGGCCCAGATGGTGGGGAGGAAAACAAAGAGACAAGTGGACCACTCAGGAGACCAGCATGATGCCATCTGTACAAGAACAGGGTGCATTTGGACCTAAAGAAACAGGACAGGGGGAGGTCATCACTACCAGCGTCCTCCCTCACTGTACGGCTCCTGGCATTGCGAAAGTTTGATTTAGTGCTGGGAGGGCAGGAGAGACTACTGGCACCTGTGTCCTTCTAGGGAGCATGGCACAGCCCTGGGCTAGCAAGACAGGGCTGCAGGGACAACTAACTGTGGGTTTTTCTGTAAGATCACAGTCTCTTCTCAGAAAGACCCTGGTGTGGATGAGTCACATGAGGTTGTGGTGAGGGCACAGAGTGGCCCATTCTTGTGTGCAGGGGACAAAGAAGACCTGAATAGCTGGGAACTCCATGATTTCAAGTAAACAGCGGAGGGCTGCAGCTCTGGACCCTGGCTCCAGGTTGGGAGGCCGCAGGAGGGAGATGATGTGGTGCTAACCCCGGCTGTCTCCTCACCAGTCCATTTGTGACAGGCTTTGGGGCAGAGGCCAAGTGAAGGATGATGGCTGCCAAGTGTGGCAAACAAACCACCCAGAGGAGGAGGGGAAGCTCATGCCCCATTTTCACACAAGAGCTGAAGTGAAGATGGAACCTTAGGCACACTGGGTGGTTCACTTTCTTTGCACCATTTGCTCTGGTTCTGTGGAGAGTGAGCTTGTAGCTATTTTTAGAGAGGGCAGATAGGGAAAAGTTGTTCAAAGTTTTCTGGCCCAGAAATGAAGAGGAGGCAAGTGGAGCCCTCAAGGGGCCTGGGACACTGAGGACCATGGTGCACCAGGGGCCTGGGCGCAGCCCTCTCTTTTGTCCCCTGGACGTGTGGCTACCCACAGGGCACAGTCAGGGTCTCTCCTGAGTTCTTGCTCAATTAAGTAACTCCCCCCGACTCCCCTCAAAAGCACTGACTTACTCTTGGATCTTTCTATTTGCATTTTTTGGGGATTAAAGACAGTGATGGCCTCAGCTGTCCAAGAGAGTCTGCCGAGACCCTTTCCAGAGAGGCCGGAAGGGCTCACACAGCATGCAGGGTGGCAGGGTGCACATGTGCCTGTGGACCCTCAGCTCCTCCATGCCTCTGACTCTCTGTCCATTATGGCAAAAATGCCCCATTGCCCAGCATGGCTTTGCCTTTCTTGGGTGAGAAACTTCAGGCTGTGAGCAAATCGGCTTTTTAGGAAGCAGCTGGGCATAGTGCAGACAGGCCAAGCACAGACTCCTGGGCTCTGCAGCCCCTGGGCAATGCACTCATCCCCTTGAGGCCTCAGCTTTCTTACCTCTAAAGCTAGATGAGTAAAACCGGCTGTGCCAGACCGTGCCTGGGAGGCTCAAGACACAGACAGCGATCACAGGAAAGATAGGCACTTACTTAGATGGCTGAGTTCTCTGTCAGGAGAGACTGCGGATTTCTAAGAGAGGGTCAGCACAGTCGGCCAGTGTAGCTGCTGTAGCAATGCATTTTCCAGGGCATCCTGGTCCTTGTTAAGTTTTGCGGACCACCTATATTGTAACTAAAGTTGCAAACTGGGAAGGCCTCCCTCAGGGTTCACAAAAGGCTCTTAGGCCTTAGATAAGCACATGTGTATGTTTGGGAAAGCTGTAACCTTAGCTCAGGGGAGGAAGAATGTTTGGGTATTTACTTTTAACATGTGCTGTTTCAGTCTTCCCTCAGTGCATCCCCTCATGGGCCGTGCAGGTTGTGCTGGGCAGAAGTAAGGGTATTGTCAAAGAAGTTGGGGCGCCGACAGTTTTAACCCCCGTGTCACTACAGTATCTTCCTTAAAGAAATATGAAAATGAGAATTGACCATCATGTGCCTGCTACATATATGGCCAATAAGTGGGAGTTGTGTTGCTTATTATTATGATTGCATGCTGGACTGAGCTCCCGAAAAACACTGGGCACGGGGCTTCGACACCCTGGGCCGGGACTCCCTGTTTGCCCCAGTTGTGTTGCAGAGCACCAGGGTGTTTTCTCCACCTGTACACACACAGTGCATCCTCTCCTGAGTCCCCAGCACACCCCTGCCAGCTCAGAGACACAGCCACATGCACGGCAGTGGACACCAGGGCCAAGGAGGGTCGCAGCTGGCATGGTCATACCTCAGCGTTGTAGCCACCATTTTAATGTTTTTTTTTTGTTTTTTTTTTAAACAGAGTGTAGGCAAGTATTTCTCCAACATGAAAGTGTGTCTGAAAAATGCCATAAATAGTGGGTACATAGTGAAGGGGAGAAAATTAGAAACGTTTGTAGGGCCATCACCAGTCATGGTGGTCACCCTGATCCAAGTAGCTGGCTGGGGCGCACAACCACTGGGGTTCAAAGTACAAACGTCCCCAGTCCCCAGTCTTTATAAAACTGCTAGGTGGTGGGCTCGGGAAACCTCTAAGTGACCCAGTGTGAGGCATTGTGACTCTCACCGGACGGTTAGTTTTAACCTCCAGCAGGCTGGCTCTTGGTTTCCAAATGGGCTGCTTGATTTTATTGCCTCTTTCCCTCTCAGACTCAGCGGCCTAGAAATCATGTCTGCTGCCACAAAACAGGTCGCAGAACAGTCCCGGGACAGTCCAGCTTAGGTATTGAGCCACTGCTGTCTGTTGGAAAATTATTTAGAGTTTTGCTTTTGTTCTTTTAAAAAAATCAGATTTAATTTATATTCAATATATGCTTTTACTTTCAAAAGTCACCTTACTTAAAAAAGAGTCAACCCACATCCAGAAGCGTCCAGGCACCAGAGGAAACCATGTGGGGGTACAGATGTTAGCCACACTCTCTGAGAATCTTTTTTTCCTGAGTCTTTATAGTTCTGGATCAGCTTTTTGGTTAAATGAATGCCAAAAGTACTTCAAAATAAGGTTCTTGATTCTGTTTGGCCCAAGATAGTTCTTATTAACATTGAAGTGAAGATAAATGTGATCAATTTGAACACTCGGTCAATCTGGTTTTTTTAAAAAGTTAAATCAGGCCAGATGTAGTGGCACATGCCTGGAATCCCAGCACTCTGAGGCCGAAGCAGGAAGATAAGTCAAGTCCAGCCTAGGGAGTGTAACGACTTAGGGAGACTCTGTCTCAAAATAAAAAAAGAAAAAAGGGCTGAGGCCCTAGGTTTAATCTATAAACCATTAAAAAAAAAAAAAAAATCAAACCAGACATTTGACCTGTTAGCTGAAATAAAATGATCATATTAGTCACTGTATTCTCCTAACCACGGTTCCCAGCCCCCGAAACAAGTCCTAGTTTCCTGAGGAAAAAGAGGTTCCTGTCTTGCTCTCAAAAGCCCATGTGCCGTACCTGGAACAGGTACTAACACACAAGAAATATCAACAGTGTTTCTCGGATGAATTACAGTGTGGGTGACTGAAAGAAGTCTGGGTGTTTATACAAAACGACAAAGAGAAGGAGCAAAATGTAATCTTAGGCCCCGAGCCCATCCGGAACAAGTGCAAAAGACACTAGCACAGAAGAAATTGGGAATCACACAGCTGAAATCTCTGAAATAATAGCATCTGAAGTAAAGAAACAACTGCAGAAAGGTAGAGAGAACGCAGGTCAGAAATAACCTCTGAAATAAAAAGAAAAAGAAATCTCTGAATTAATATCATCTGAAGTAAAGAATCAACTGCAGAAACATATAGAGGAAATCAGATCAGAAATAATCTCTGAAGTAAAAAAAGAAAGGATAACGATAATGGGTGTTTCTATGTAAGTTAACTTTGTTGGTAGATTTGGGGGTCTGTTGGATTGGTACTACTGGGAAGCAACACACTTTAAAAACAGAACACAGGAGTTAAACTGCCAAAGTTGACGAGGGACTTTGAATACATAGAATGAGTTAAAGTGTAATACACTTTTATTTTTATTTTTTTTTTTCTCCTCGAATGCCTTCAGGGCACTTTTGGCTGGCTGGAGGGTTGTGGGGATCGAACTAGAACAAGCTGAGGCTGACAGCTTTGTGGAAGCAGCCACTTAAAGAACTGAGCTAGGGCCAGGCCCCCTACACTTTTATTTTGAAGTAGTTTAAAATACAATCCAGAGCTCAGGAGACAGCTCAGCGGCACAGCACCTGCCTGGTAGCATAAATGAGTTCGATTCTTAGTACCATAAAAAAAAAAAAAAAAAAAAAAAAATGCAGCCATTA